GTTAAAACTGCCGATCACGGAAAAAAATCAAATGAAATGTGTGCGGACTTTTGCGCTGTTCAGTTTTTGGCCCAGCTAATTCAATTTGGTTGGGAAAAACCGAAACGTTAACTTTCAAACGGAACCCAATCCAATTAAGCAGGATGCAGGAACCGGAGCACATGCAAATTATCCGATTCTGCTCCGTTCTTAATTAACATTTAAAATGCTTCAGGTTTTCATGTTTTTTCTGTTCCCTTCGGGTTGAACCTTTTTGCGCAATAACCACTCGGTAACCGCAGTTGTGGTGGTGTGGCGAGGCGAGTGGTTTGGCGGGGGGTGTGGTGGCTCTTACACCCACTCTGAAATCCACATAATACAGAAAGTTGCAAAATGTTAAATATTTGCAACACCTGAAAAATTGAATATTTTTTTTATTAAAAGTTCAAAGTTTGCCGACGGCAGCGGTTGCTTTGGGAAGAACAGTGAGTGGAGGGCGGGAAATGTAGGAGGTTCCCTTTCAACCGCAGTCAATAAATAAACTTTGGAAAGTGCGTGAAAATGTATTCGCAGATTGAAACCGTCAGCTCTGAGTGGTGAGTTCGTGAGCGAGATAATAGATTTAATATTTAATAATAAAAGATATATAATATATAACAATATTTAAAGAAATATTTAATATTTATGTAATAATGTTTTCCGATCAGTTAGATTCAAGAAATATTTATTAGATTGGGTACAAGACATTTTAACAACTATTATAACTTAATAATAAAATATTCCAATTCGAGACAAATACTTTCTTGTGCGTAACGACATTAGTTCTCTTCCCCTAAAGCTGGATTTTATTTACACAACTTTTTCAACAAGTTACTTTTAACTCATTTGCAACTTCGTTGTAACTTGGTACTTTTAACTATTTGCCTAAGCTTTTTTTAAGAGTGTTTGTTACTTATTGGTTTCTTTTTATCGTTTCTATTCAATTTCCCCGTCTGCACAGAAAGAAAATTGTTAAATTTTACGATTTACATAAGGCTTTAAGAGAAATTCCAGGATATTGATTTGCTAACTACTAATTCGCAAGCTACCACTCACAACTGGCGACTAAATCAATTTGCAAGCTTCAGTCACAGTCGCAGCTTTTCCTTGTCCTCTCTGGCAAAACCGTGGCATGAAAATGGACGACATCCGCTGGTTCTGTCGTTGGCAGTGGTTTGTCGTGGTGCGGGTGGTGAGGATGGTGACGATGGTGGAGGTGGCACGTGTTTGTGGTGCCGGCTTACAGCAGATGTGGGCCGATGTCTGTTTAAAGCGCCATCATAATCAGCAGCATCATCAGCATCAGCTCGGAGAGACCTGCTTCCTTTACCCGAACTGGTCATGTTGTGCTTTGTTAAAAGGATTTTCACGGATTTCCGTTGTAATTTGAAAAGTTTTTGTGCAACTTTTTTCATTAGAATAAGAGAGAGGCATAGGCGTGTACGGGAAGGGGGGCACCATCGGCAACCCAGCTCCTGCCAAAAAGGTAAATGGCTTGGACCGTGTTAGTTTTTGAAGTGGCCTGCCACGAGCAGCCGGCGAACAGGTGTTAATTGTTTTCAAGCTAATTTGCCCCGGCGATAATGAATTTTTCGCCAGACCAGGCCCAAAAAGAAATTATAATTAAATTGCTGTGAAAGCTGCGCGGATTTGAAGAACTTTACTTAAGTCTCTTACACGCAAAAGAAATGGTAGCAAGAACATTAATATAAGCTAGTTATTCAACTGGAGCCCATTGTTCAAAAACTAACTTTATTAAATGTATGTCGATTTTAAGTTTAACGCTAAAAAACTTTTAAAACACTTACTATTTGAATTAAGAAATACAAACGCTTATTGGTTATTTGTATTCTGTGTACCACCCACAAAACTAATCCACTTACCTTTTCAAATTGTCCGAAATGGAAGGGGATTTGACTGGGTCCAACACTTTCAACTGTTGACTAAAAACTCTGAGGAACAATAAAGTTGCCAGTGCTCTACACTCCGCCGTCCTCTGAGCTAACTGCCTCCCTTTGGCAATTCCATTGTCAACCTTGAAAAGGCGCGCAGGTGTGAAATGAGCGTGCGAAATGGAACCAGGCCTACTCCAAAGGGAGAGAAAGTGGGAGAAAGTGGAAAACGGCAGTGGGTTGGGGGTGGGGGCAGAGGGCGTGTGTGGGAGATAATTGAATTTGTGATTTTAAGTGCTGCCGAGGCGTAGACATCAGCTGAGGGTAGCTAAACAAGTCACAAAAGTGCAAATTTGCGCAGCAAAGTATGCAGCACTAAATTACGCATACGCCATGTGCCACAGCATTAAAAATGTGGCAGTAGTAGAGTCCGGAACGTGTAAACTGTTTCGTGTTTCGTGTTTCGAGCTTCGAGTTTCGAGCCTGCCCAAAAGTTGTCCTGCTGAAACGGGGGAAAGCTGTCAATTTGCCGAGTGTCCGCAAACAAAGCGAGCCACACAAACCAAACGAGCGAACAACAAATAGTTGTCAACACGACGGAACGGTCAATCCATACGAACAGTAAGTACACTTTAGATAAATCAAGGACTTTATTAGTAGGATTTGAGCAATGAAAATGTTAGTTTGTAAACGATTACAGTTCTTGGAAAATGCCTAATTCTTGATTTAATTTGTACAACAAACGTCTTGAGCCTCAACTACTTTAAAAACCCCTCATTTCATTTCATTTCCTTCTTATGTTGGCATGACTCTTCTCTTTATGTCACTACACAAACATTTGTTATTATAATACGGTGTAGGTGGCCAATCTTCAAGCCCTATTCCAAGCACCCGCCTGAGAGAAGTTGCTCCTCCGACAACTTCAAGTGGCATTGTAAAAAGTTTTCCTGCCAGCTCATTTAAAATGCAAATGGAGGCCGCTCGTACAGAGGCAATCGCTACGTCCACCTTTTTCGCCTCACTCCCGTGTCGAAAAATTAGTTTGCAAGCAAACGAGAAACATAAACAGAACACGGCCAATATATCGCCTATTAAGACTATAAATTATACGGGAGATCACTTTTTCTGCAGCAGGGAGTCATATTCGGGATTTATTTCGGCCTGCTCCGACAGTCGTTGTGCCTATAATCCGCTTTGTGGCCCAGCTGAACTTTCAGTTTGGGGGAGGTATATGGTACATGGTGAAATCGTAGCTAACTTCTTAAGTGCAGTGCAACTTTTGACACTTGAAATTGAGTTTTGCGGTGTAATTGCATTTTATTTGCCAACTTTAGCCAAAGGAACCAAACAAAAGTCGCAATCCAATCCCGTTCCCATTCGAAATCCCCATTGCACACTGCCATTGTCCCCGAAACTACCGGAATCCATTGGATGCTGTATCTTTCTGTCACTTAGCGCCCGAGCAGGCACAATGGGGTGGGGAGGCAGAGGCGCAGAGGTGGAGGATGAAGTGCCATCAAATTTGCATGGATGGCGCCAACGAGGCTGGAACTCAAGTCAAGTGGCGATAATCGCAATCTTTGGCTGGTTCGTTATTTGCGCCACCCAGTCGTCACCTTGCATGTCGTCACACACAGACAGAAAAACTATGATTTAAATTTAATTTTACTTTGACATTAATATACAAACGGTTATTATATAGCTTAAAGAGCAAGGAAACAACAAATTGTTACCCAAATAGCAATATACTTATTCGTAAGTCACATATTAAAATGCAGACATGAAAAACAACTGCGAATTCTTCTTGATATAAACCATTATTTAAAATTTATATAAGCAGAAGTCCTAAATTAGAAGAATTCTTTTTGGTTTATTTAATAAGAAATCAGAATTAATATGTTTATTTATAGCATTTTAATGTAGCTCAATAGCTTCATGGTGATTTTTATATATTATTAACGATTATTTTCGGTCCCTGACTTTTTGTACTATTAGATCTCTTTCTAGCTCAGCATTTTAGTGGAAACAAAATTCACATTTTATGTTAAAAACAATATTGTTTCTAGTGTACATGAAAAATGAATTGAATCATTTTTGCAAATGGATTGCCCGAGCGGCGGGGGGGGTAAGCAGAGAAAAGTAATGAAGGGGGCCCTGTGAGTTTGTGCAAACTGCAGTTTGGCAGCTCATAAAATCAACTTTCTCCATTCCACTCGCATGCAGTTATCCACATGAATTGTGGTAGTGGGTGGTGGGTGGTGGGTGATGGGAGGACGGAGGACAAGGCCAGAAAATTAATTTCAATTTTTTGAATGGATACCATTGAAAGCGGATGGAAGTGGATGAGAAGCAGCAATCAAATCAAATTATTTTTCATTGCAGCTCAATAGGGGAAACGAAAGCGAAAACGAAAACGAAACCGAACCGAGCAAAAGGCCAGCCAGCCCGGAAAAAGGAAGGAAAAATAAACTCGGGCATGTTATGCAAGTCAAGCTAAGCTGTAAAAAAGCAGAAATGTCTGTTGGAATGTTTAACAAATGCCAAGGCGGGTATTTCAATTTGAGACAGACTGGCTGACTGACTCAATGCAGCCATAATTAAGAGTGTCCTCGCTGTCAGTCCGCCATTGTTCAGTGTTCAGTGTTCAGCGTTCAGTGTTTTCTGTTATCAATTTACTGTTTCTCTGGCAAAAGACGAACGGCGAAATGCGAAATGCGAATCGACAGCTGGCTGTATTCTGGCAGCGAGATAAATGAATTTTTCATTAAAACAGTTGCAAATTATTTAGTTTCATGTTGGGCATTAATTTGCATAATTTAAAGTTAAACTTTTCCGGCACAGTTTTCAATTGCCGCAGCTTGTTGCTTGTGTGCTGCTCTGCTGTCCCCCAACTCTGAGTTTCTGGCTTCCATGAATGAAATTTTGGCGCGCTTTTCACAGCGCAGGCGCATTGAAAATTTGGCGAAGAGAAAGAGAGAAGCCGGTTGAAGGTTGATGATGGAAATTGAAACCTCAGCCTCCTCGAAGGATGCCCATTCAATCTGCGATTCGTCAGACAAAAGCAGCGCGACTTCGACGGCGGCCAACAGTTGCGGTCTGGAGCTCGTTGGTTGCACATTGCCGTCGCCGAAAGTCGGCAAATAAAATAAAATACTCGAAAAACTACAAGCCTCCGTCGTCGTGCGTGATTCGTTTGCCTAAACCTCAAAGAAAGTAAAACAAATTAAATTATGGCTTAAATATGAATGTAATGCCAATAAATTGTCATTTGTGTGCAGTGTGCAGTGTGCAGTGTTAGTGTTAGTGTGTGTGTGCCCTATGTCATATACGCAATATTTATGAATGCAATCTCCTACGACTGAGCAAAGACAATACTCGTAAGCCAAGATTATTGTGCCTGCATATCGAGAGCATAGCTGAGTTAAGTGAACCCAAAAAAGTGGATCTGCATTGTCTATGGTAATCCCTGTGGAAATCCCCGAAGCGATTTCCCACACCCACACAGCCTGCAGCCGAGTATTGGCTGCATAACAAATCGCATCAGGCATTCTGACATCGCATCTCGGATGGCATCTCTGACTGGGCAAAGAAGTGTAGTCTCCACACATAACTCCCTCGGTTTTTCTTTCTTTCATTTTTTGCCACCACATTTTGTGCCAGCAGCAGTTGCACTTGCAGTTGCAGTTGCAGTTGCAGTTTGACAGTTTACACACGACGAGCAGCGAAATATGGAATCTGAATTACAAATGCAGCCAGCATTTTGCATAATTTATGTCAAGCATGAAAATAACAACTAAAGCGAGCGATGACCAAAGGGAGGGGGCCGTTGTTGCACACATAGCCATAAATAAGTGCAGGTTTAAATACCACGGCAACAATTGTGAAATATGGCAGAATAATAGAAAGGACCAAAGGAGAAAGGCAGCTAAATATTCATATACTCAAATGTACACTGCACACAGAGAAAGGAAGGGAATTTTTTTTATAATCAAAAAAGTACAATTTAATAGAATTTTTAGAACAAAATTTTTATTAATAGATTTCTTAAACACTTCAATTCTCCAACTTTTTCACATTTACTAAGTCAACTGAAACTGTCTTAAACTTTATTAATTTTTAATAGTGTTACACCAAGACTGATTTGATCTGTTTTTAATTAGAAATTATCAAACATACAATCTCTTTTCTGGAATACATTACAATACAACGTATTTAATTAACAATGGTCACAATGGTTTAAGTAAATTGCGTTGCGATAGTTCATAATTAAATTTCAAAACAAGCATTTAACCAGACGAGCAGAGTTAACAAAACTAAAATTAAAATCACTTAACATGTATCATTTGGAATCAATAACAAATTTAATTCCATTCAAATTAGATTATTTGATAAAAGTGTGTATTGAAGTGATTTTATCATCCCCTTTTTTTAAGCAATGTCAATGCACAATGCACAATCAAACAAATTTTGAAATACGGACGCATTAAACAAAATCCATTTTAGTTATATTGCAATGCTATATTTCACTCTTGATAATTTATTTCAGCCAAGCTCTCAATATTAATAGCAAGATAAGCTGGCTTAAATGAAATCAATTTTAAAGTTAAATTTAAAAGTCAATACCCAATTGCATTTGGAAAAATACCTTAATTTCCTTTTAACATTGCAGTTTGTCAAATTAAGTAATTACATTTTCAGACAACCAGTTTAATCAAAGCATTATCCAAACTTGTTAAGGAATTAAGTGTCAAAACTCACTTACTAGTTCGCAAATTCTGAAGAAGTTTCCATTGTTCACCTAGATTTCAGTCTTGAAATGAAAGCTTCAAGCAAAGTTTGTTTGGTTTTTCTTGTTTTTCGCCAGTGCATATACAAATATGAGTTGTTAGTTACACGAGTAGCCCAGTGCAAAAGGGGTTAGGCAAGGAGAGAGCGGAGGGTGGAGGGCAAATGTCAACTGTAGGCGGTGCACCCAAGGGTTAAAGAGTGCCAAAGAGGGGTTAAGTGGGGTTGGACCGGCCCCCCCCTTTTAGGGGCACGCCACTGTTCGCAGCAAGAACTCTGAGGACAAAACAAAGCGGGGGCTTCACAACGAAATGGGCCAAAAAGTTATTTTAAGCGAACAGCGAAAAGCGTGCTGCAAAATTGAAACAAAGCAGAAAGCACGAAACAAAGCGTCCATAAAGTGGGTTTAGGTGTGGGTGAGAGGGGTGTGGGTGGACTGCAAGTTGGTAATCTCGAAACAATTATGCATACGCGCGCATACAGAGAGAAAACGTTTCACTGAAATCTCTGGCGCGTGAGACTCGACAAAAAGTAGCCCAAAAGGCCGCAATGAAAGCGCAAAATGTTTGGCCATTAGCATAAAAAGTAATGGCCAAGTGGCAGCCCAGCCACACAAGAACAACATTTAAGGAGGTGGCAAAAGTGGGGAAGCAAACGAAGGGACGTGTCCATTTCATCGAAGACTTCGTCTTAATCCTTTTCAACGGGCAAATTGGCGTAAAAATGCCTTTTGGGGCTCCCCAAGTATTTTCGATTTGGGTTTTCCGTGACCATTCACTTTCACATGGAGAAAAATCGATGTTTACACAAAGGCCTCCTGTTTCTTAAATTATTTTGTTTACTATTATATAACTCGACTTTAATAACTAAAAAGTTAGGTAAAAGTGCTAAAAGGAAGTTATTATCCTTGTGACAAAATAAAACTGAACTGAAGTGTGGAATTGGATGGTTTAAAACTTACTTTTAGAACAAAAAAACTTATAAACGTGTGATCAATGCGAAATATATTTTCAAGATGATGTGTAATTAATCGATGAATAAATTTATATGTAAAGGTATACTTCTACATAAACTAACCAATTGGCAATTGATTGCTTTGCTGGCTCTGAGAATTATTAACACCCTGGACTATAAATTCCAAACTGTTTGTTGTGCAACTTTTTTCCGTGTCACCCAATCCCGTGAATCGCACCCATCGACAATCTCCTCAGCATTGCATACTTTTATGGTCGAATACTTTGCACAGCGAGTGTGAGCGTGTGCGGAAGGCGGCAGAGCAAAAAGATACAAAATGCCAGCAAAAGTGAGGCCAATAAAAAGGCGATAAAATTGACGCCGATACAGTAGGAAGGAGCAGGAGCAGGGGTGGGAGCAGGAGCAGAACGAAACGATAAGCGTATCCTGTCGGCAGAGTGCATAAAACGGCGATATATATTCCGGTGTGTCCTGTGTGTCCTGTTTGTCCTGTGTGTGTGTGTGTTTGTGCCGTTTTTGTTGCTGCAACCTCTCACTGATTGCCTGCGATTCAAATGCCTTGGTGATTAATGGGCCATTGGCCATTGCCGACGGGATGCGCATAATTCAACCGGGACATTGGCCGGCAATGGGACTTGGTCTATTCCTGGCCCTTGCCTGGACAACAGCGGCAGCGGCAGCCATGGAGTCCTCGGCCGAGCTGCAGGCCCTGGGCTACGAGGCAATTAGGCCAGGTGCTGCTTCGGCTGCGGCCTCAATTAGCACCTCATCCACCAGCAGTTCGCCAGCAGTGTCCCCTCGCTCCGACTGGAAATACAAACGGACGAAAGTCAAACGCCGACAGCAGCGCCTCAATTCGCACAGTAATCTGCCCGGCAGCACCAATGCCTCCCACCTGCACCACCCACTGGTGAGTTTGCCACCCAGGCAGCGCTACCTGAAGGTCAACCAGGTGTTTGAAAGTGAGCGCCGCATGTCGCCGGCCGAAATGCAGCGCAATCATGGCAAAATCGTGCTGCTCGGACTCTTTGAGCTCTCCACATCGAGGGGGCCACGACCGGATGGCCTCAGTGAACTGGGAGCCGCCACCATGGCCGTAGAGCACATCAACAGCAAGCGTCTGCTGCCAGGCTACACTCTGGAACTGGTGACCAACGATACTCAGGTGAGTTTAAAAATTGTAATTGCAAAGAGAGAGAGGAGAAGCCATGCCAAAGAAGCTCCTTCTAGGCGGCGTTGTGTTGTTCCATTACGAAATTGAATTTTCATTTAGTAGCGCGTGCAACATTAAAACTTAATAAGAAAATCTGCAGCAACAAGAACAGAACGGAGAGCAGCTGCGGCTGCGGTCCTAAAAGAGGGGCAAATATGTCATCAACGTTCCGTCTGAGGCACTTTTATTGCGATGAGTCGTTCCCGCTTTGATGGGGCACGCAAATGTACAAGAGCTACAGACACTGCAGAAAATCAGGGAACTGCTATCAATAAATTTTTCAGGATAGAGTATGAGTCAGTGAAATACTTAAAGAGATTATATTCATTACCTCCTTCTCAGATTTCGGTACTTTATTAAATAATGCTCTTTGCTAAACTTGACATTTTACTACTTAATTTAATGGTTTTCGTATTATCAAATCTGGTTTTTATTTATTAAAATGGGAAATTATATCAACTAGAATTTTAGAATCAATATCACATTCTTAGACGGTTGCTTTTTAGTGGTATTTAAAATGTGATATGAAGTTTTAAAATTAACAATAGGAATTTCAATCGAACCACTTTCACATTTGTAAACGGTTTCTTTTCGAGTCTAGTTTTAAAATTTATGGTTTTTATAGTGTATGCATATGCACATCTACCCAAAACAGACAGTCATATCTGGAGCCGCATCTCCGGCGGTGCCTCTATCAAAGTCGACATTTTAAAAATGTTTATTGCGCCATCTTGCCGTTTTTTTTATGACGGCGAAACGATTCGGTGAACAACGGTCTTTGCCCCCTGTTATTTTGCCACCCCCTTGCTCATCTCTACTTTCTCCCACTTTCTCGCTGCTCATCCCTACTTTCTGCCACCTTGCTTTGCTTCTGGCAATCATCAGTGTGATCCTGGAGTGGGCGTGGATCGCTTTTTCCATGCCATCTACACACAGCCATCGACCAGGATGGTGATGCTACTGGGATCGGCTTGTTCGGAGGTCACCGAAAGCCTGGCCAAGGTGGTGCCCTACTGGAACATTGTGCAGGTGAGTCACCCAGTGCCACTGATTAAAATGTAGATATCCACCTTATTCGGTTCATCTCATCTATCATCCGCCCATGCCACCTAATTGGGCCATTTCTCAAAAATCTAATCAACTCACGTGCGTGGCTCCGATTAGCATAAATGCTAGGGGAATCCAGCAGCACCCCATAAACCTTTGAGCCATAAACATTTCCACAGCCCACAAATTATGAGGTCCACAAATTCACTTAGAACATTTGCATTTGGCCTTTGAAGTTTCATTTTGGGCTGTGCGTGTGTTAAATGAGTGGGCTGGGAAGACACATGAGTTGGTTGGCTGGAGGGCTGGATTCCTGGCAGAGCATGTCTTGCATTTAAAGCGACCTTTAGCATACGCAGATACTGTAACGATTTCCTTCGATAAAAGGTATCCTTTGGTTCCACATCGCCAGCGTTGAGCGACAGGCGGGAGTTTCCCTACTTCTACAGGACCGTGGCCCCGGATTCCTCGCACAATCCGGCTAGGATTGCTTTCATCCGGAAGTTTGGCTGGGGAACGGTGACCACATTCTCGCAGAACGAGGAGGTCCACTCGCTGGCGGTGAACAATTTGGTCACCGAGCTGGAGGCGGCCAACATATCCTGTGCCGCCACCATCACCTTTGCGGCCACCGACTTCAAGGAGCAACTGCTGCTACTTAGGGTGAGCCAAAAACATAAGTGCCCTGAGTGCACCAAAGTATTAACAATAAATGCAAGCTGTTGGACGATTTTATGGCACATTTTGAATTTCATTAGTTTTTGGGTTTTATTTTTAGAGCATTAAAAGCACACATTATAGCAATGTATTAAAGGCCATCATATGAAAACCAACTTTTTAATATTTATTTTCTTGGAAATACTAATTTGGCCAATGGCCCAACATTTTTGTGCCCAAGCCCAACAGTGTTATATCCCACAAAGGGGTATTTAATAAAATATTTAATTTCTAAATATTCTGTTCCTATTATTATTGAGTAATTATATTATTGAATAATATTTTATTCCAATTATTTTTATAGCTTAAGAAGATATTCTAGTTCTACATATATATATAGACTTTTCTTATTAAAAGCAATTTATTTTCATTTTTGTTTTTTGGATAAACATATTTAGATATATGTATTAAGAAATAATTAGTTTACTTAATTTAGAGTAGTTTTTTTTCCATAGCTCAAGAGTATATTCTTCCGCATAATAGTATTCATTATTCTCTTTTTAAGTATAAGTAGTTTTACTTATCTCGCCTTTAAGTTATTGGTTTAAGACAATTCCCTGTACTCGCGTGGATAAATGCCACCATATCGCCCAGAGCTCCTCTTTCAGCATGATTCTTACACTCTTTGTTTTGAGTGTGGGCGGGCACAAGTGCAAATCGAAGGATGACAAATGACAAATGGCCAAATGCCGCTTCCTTTCATACCGTTTACATATCGCCACAGGAGACGGACACGCGCATCATCATCGGCAGCTTCTCGCAGGAACTGGCCCCCCAGATTTTGTGCGAGGCCTACAGGCTGCGAATGTTCGGGGCGGACTACGCCTGGATCCTCCACGAGAGCATGGGCGCCCCCTGGTGGCCGGACCAGCGAACCGCCTGCTCCAACCACGAACTGCAGCTGGCCGTCGAGAACCTAATCGTGGTGTCCACGCACAACAGCATCGTGGGCAACAACGTCAGCTACAGCGGACTGGTGAGTCTATGAGGCGGCACTGCACAAAAATTATATTCAGAACTTGATTCCATAACCACAAACAAAACTTCTCTCCCTCGAAAACTCAATAGGTCAAGCAATTTGATTGGTTATTTAAAGTATAAATACAAATAAAATTAATTCTAGAAAACGTAGTCTCTATTAAGAATTCTGTTTTTTTAGTAGGCTAAAATTTGCTAAAAATCAAATGAATCAAATAATAAAATCCAGAAAAATTTAAAATATAATTAAATAATATTAGTAAAGACAAAATCAATTTAAAACTTAATTTTAAGATTCCTTAAAAACGCTATCAAATGAACAATGAACATTTGAAATGTAAACTCAATAAGACGGTCAGTTTATTTAGTCATTTGTAACCAGAATTGTCCAGAATTTAAAATTTCTTTAAGTGTACCTTTAGCATTGCGTTCAATTTTCTTTCCGGTTTTTTTTTTTCAACTGCCTGGTCCTTCTCGTCGTCCTGCTCGTTGTCCTATTGAGTCTGTCCTTTCTGCGCGCGTCCAAAATGAAATGATTTATTTGATTAGACAATCCCGAGGCTGCGATTGCGTTTTGCGATGGCTCTGGCGATGGCGATGGTGATGGTGATTGCCAAGTGGGCCGCCTAAGCCCTGCCTGTCATCGCGTTCGCATTCGCATTCACCATTCGCCATCGCAGACGCGTTTTTATGGCTTCTTTAGTGCTGGTCATGAAATGGTGGCAGGAGTGTGGGAGATGGGGATCTTTGGTATGGGCAATCTCATTACTGGCGGCATTCCTGCGGCATTCGTGGTCTGTTTAATCGCGTTTCCACTTCACAGAACAATCACATGTTCAACTCACAGCTGCGCAAACAATCCGCCCAGTTCCATGGCCAGGATGGATTAGGTTTTGGTTCTGGCACTAACTCTGGCTCCAGGATCAGTATCGCTGCACCGCAATCGGATTCGGATGCGGGCCGTCGGCGAAGGAGAAGGAGGAGTAGAAGGGGATTGGGTGGCAGTGGAGGAAGCGGAGGTCATCTCTTCCCGGAGGCCATATCGCAGTATGCACCGCAGACCTACGATGCCGTGTGGGCCATTGCTTTGGCCTTGAGAGCCGCCGAGGAGCACTGGCGGCGCAACGAGGAGCAATCGAAGCTGGACGGATTCGATTACACGCGCAGTGACATGGCCTGGGAGTTCCTGCAGCAGATGGGCAAACTGCACTTCTTGGGCGTATCGGTGAGTAGTTAGAAAATCTCACACAAGGCAACAAACTGAGACTTTGTAAAAGGTTCAAACAATTTTGATTGGTATCTTAATCAAAAGAAATCAGTGACCTAGAAAAAATTACGCAAGACAACAATTGAGACTTTGTAAAAGGTGCAGGAGTACCTAAGGAAATGCGGTGAAAACAACATTTGCTTTTCATAAAACATGATTGTAAATAAAATGCAGTTCTAAGGAATTGCAACTATGATTTTTTAATGTTATTTGTCCCTACGAAATGGAGTACCCACATAAATTGATATTTTTTTACACGGTTGCATTATGTTATTCCTAGAATTAGTGAAATTTACTGAAATTCATAAAGTTTTCTTAGGCATTCTTGTTTCTCAATGGTATTTAATATATTTTAGGGTCCTGTTTCGTTCAGTGGTCCGGATCGCGTTGGCACCACAGCCTTCTATCAAATCCAGCGCGGCCTGTTGGAACCGGTGGCCCTCTACTATCCGGCGACGGATGCCCTGGACTTCCGGTGCCCTCGCTGCCGTCCGGTGAAGTGGCACAGCGGTCAGGTGCCCATCGCCAAGCGGGTGTTCAAGCTGCGGGTGGCCACCATCGCACCACTGGCCTTCTACACCATCGCCACGCTCTCAAGCGTGGGAATTGCCCTGGCCATAGCCTTTCTCGCCTTCAATCTGCACTTTCGCAAACTCAAGTAAGGCGAATAGACCATAAATCACTTGGCTTTATACTTCTTTGAATATTTTATTTGCCATTATGGTCTTTTAAAAATAAATAAAGTGAAGTGATAATTTAGTTTGAGGTGGGTATGTTCTTTAACCTTCAAAACATAGTTAAATTTCCTTATCTTGTGTTGGGGGTTTCTTTTTAGGTAAAGTTACAAATCACTTGCAACCAATTTCTAAGTTTTAATTGATTACATGATTTCTTCTCAACTCTTTAGTAATCGATATATATATAGTTTAATTTATATGTTCCGTTCGCAGTGCTTACTTCGCACTTTTTCGCTGAAGCACTTGAGGCACCTAGTCTCATAACCATCACACATTCTCCCATCTCACTCCACAGGGCAATTAAACTTTCCAGCCCCAAGCTGAGCAACATCACCGCAGTGGGCTGCATCTTTGTGTACGCCACCGTCATCCTTTTGGGTCTGGACCACTCGACGCTGCCCTCGGCGGAGGACTCCTTCGCCACGGTCTGCACGGTGAGTTGTTATCCTTCGGCGCCGAAATGCTTTCTTTGTTTGACTTTGACGGGTTTCTGGGTTTTTGGTTGCTGGTGTGTAAGCAAGCATGAGGGCTCCTCATCAAATATGACTTTCAGTTTTAGGCTGCTAACTTTCGAGTCGCGTTCATGTGTTTGCTTTATTTATCCACTGAAAAAAATATATTATTCACTAGTGTTAGGTTAAAGTTGAATGTTACAACATATGTATAAATATATACAATTTGTTTAATTTACAAAGTCATTTAACTGAAAGTTAGTCAAACAATATTTTATATAAAAGAAAAAGAAAATTACAAAAAAATTGAACTGAATGTTGGTCAAACTATTTTCAATATTTTGTTTATAAGACGGTTAAACAATTCATAACTTGTTCAGATAATTTATTGTTTTATAGACTTATAAATAGATTTTTTCCAGTGTTTTTTTTTACAAGCTCGACTACTCCTGCTGGCTATAAATAGACGACGAATTTGACTGCAAATCTGCTGCTCTTTAAGCTAGAAGACAAGTCGAGTTTGACGAGCTTTCCATCCAGATCTGCTGCCCCGCCCCCTTCTCCGCCTTAACAACCGCCTCGAACGCCACTCCTGGGAAATTTGCTGGTCGCTGTTGTTTCTGTTTCTGTTCCTGTAACCATTTCTCCGGTTGTTCCGCTTTTCGAGTTGCCTGTTTGTTTTTTGTGTTTTGTTATTGTTGCAAGTGGAGGAGTGGTGGTGACTGGGGGGCAGGAAAATGCAAACACATGACACGGGAGTTTACAACTTTTGTGATATTCCTTTATTTGCATAAATTTGAAACGCACAACAAAGTCCAATCCACCACTCCAAGGATTGTGGTCCATTGATGACTTGTTTTCCTCCCATTTTTGTTTTCTTTGGTTCTGCCTGACATGACATTTAGTGTATTACTACAGTATTACCTCCCCCTAACCTCCGCCTGATCCGCTTATGATGTCTTGCAGGCACGCGTCTACCTTCTGTCCGCCGGATTTTCGCTGGCCTTTGGATCGATGTTTGCCAAAACCTACAGAGTTCATAGGATCTTCACGCGCACTGGAAGTGTTTTCAAGGACAAGATGCTGCAGGACATCCAGCTGATCCTGCTCGTCGGTGGGCTGCTTCTGGTGGATGCATTGCTGGTTACCCTGTGGGTGGTCACCGATCCCATGGAGCGGCATCTACACAACCTAACGCTCGAGATAAGCGCCATCGATAGAAGTGTCGTCTACCAGCCACAGGTAATATATGTAGATTAAGATAAAAATAAACGCATTAAAGCCTTTCGTTCATTATTTTAAAAGTATTTTTATTTATTTGTAAACACAGTACCATGGCAATTTGATTAACTTAAATCATTTATGTAGAAAATTGCTTAAATTAAATATTAATTTTTAAACAAAATATTTATACCTTTTATTCGGTTTTATTTTCAAATGCAGTGTATATTTCTAGTCCATAGACACAAATAACCAAAAAGCAGCCGATTAAAATTTAAAATTTAAAGGCTTTCACTTGCAGTTTTGTTTTTATTTGCTTATAACATAAATAATAATGCAAACAAGTTAAATATTATTTGCAAAGCTCTTATTTATTCAATTAAATCTCATTTTGATTTGATTGCTTTATTTAACGCAGACAGGGGAGATTCTATGAAAAGTTGTTATTCAAAAAAAGTAAAATAAATCAATAACGTACTCAATCGAACAGAAAACAAAAACGTGTTAAAAATATAACAAAATAAATATCGTTTTTATGGATTTTCTTTATTCATCGGATGGATTAAATGCTTTTGAAAAATTCAACGTTTTCTTTGGCAGACAATATATAAATAAAGTTATGGTATTAGGAACACTCACAAATAAAATGAATCTCAATTAGGTTGTTTGTATTTTGTTATCGTTTTCAGGTGGAGGTATGTCGTTCGCAGCACACACAAACGTGGTTAAGTGTCCTCTACGCCTACAAGGGTCTCCTCCTCGTGGTTGGTGTGTACATGGCCTGGGAGACGCGACACGTGAAGATCCCTGCCCTGAACGATTCCCAGTACATTGGCGTGTCTGTCTACAGTGTGGTCATCACAAGCGCCATCGTCGTTGTGCTGGCCAACTTGATTTCAGAGCGAGTCACCCTGGCCTTCATAACCATAACGGCACTGATTTTAACCAGCACCACGGCAACGCTTTGCCTGCTCTTCATTCCCAAACTGCACGACATCTGGGCGAGAAGTAAGTATTAGTCAGTCGAACAATATTCAAATTGTCTAGTATCTAGTTATTCATTAATTTTAGAAAATATTTCTAATGATTCTTAATTTCAACTTAATGTTTAAACTCAACTATTTAGGCTTATCATTTTGTACTGTTGAACACAATTTTTCTTTTCATCCAGACTTCAACACAAGTCAATCAAACATATACTAATATAGACTCATCTAACTAATTTGGTAACTCTTTCTAAAACGGATGTTGTGCTTATTGATTTGTCACATTATTGCCACATAACCCGATTGTTTACCCACAGACGACATTATTGACCCAGTGATCCACAGCATGGGTCTGAAGATGGAGTGCAACACCCGTCGATTCGTGGTGGACGATCGCCGGGAACTGCAGTATCGCGTGGAAGTGCAAAACAGGGTCTACAAAAAGGAGATCCAGGCACTGGATGCCGAGATCCGCAAGCTGGAGCGTCTGCTGGAAACGGGACTGACCACCACGTCGACAACGACTTCGTCCTCCACGTCACTGCTTGCGGGAGGTACTGGCGGTCACCTAAAGCCGGAACTGACAATCACCACTGGGATATCACAAGTTCCTCCGCCAGCTGCCAGTAAAACCCGGACACCGAGTATTTCGGGAATACTACCGAATCTCCTGCTCTCCGTGCTGCCACCGGTGATTCCTCGGGCCAGTTGGCCCTCGGCGGAGTACATGCAGATACCGATGAGGCGCTCGGTGACCTTCGCCTCGCAGCCCCAACTGGAGGAAGCCTGTCTGCCGGCACAGGACTTGATCAACCTCCGCTTAGCCCACCAACAGGCCACGGAGGCCAAGACAGGCTTGATCAACCGATTGCGAGGGATATTCTCGCGCACCACTTCGAGTAACAAGGGCTCCACGGCCAGTTTGGCGGATCAAAAGGGTCTGAAGGCGGCCTTCAAATCGCACATGGGTCTGTTCACCCGTCTGATTCCCTCCTCGCAAACGGCCTCCTGCAATGCCATCTACAATAATCCCAATCAGGATTCTGCTATGCCCGTGGAGTCGTCGTCGGCGTCGTCGTCCTCCCATCCAAATGGCAATCATCACCACCACTTGAAACCAATTCACAGGGGTTCCCTGACCAAAAGTGGCACCCACCTGGATCACCTCACCAAGGATCCGAATTTCTTGCCCATATCCACCATTTCGGGGGCAGAGGAATTGGGTGGCAAGTATGTGAAGCTGCTGGAGACCAAGGTGAACTTTCAACTGCCCAGCAACCGAAGACCATCGGTGGTGCAACCAGCGCCCAGTTTAAGAGAGCGGGTGCGTGGTTCCCCTCGCTTTCCCCACCGCATTCTGCCGCCCACTTGTAGCCTCAGTGCCCTGGCCGAGTCCGAGGATCGTCCCGGGGAAAGCAATTCCATTTTGGGCAGCTGCAAGTCCATACCACGTATTTCCCTGCAACAGGCCACCAGTGGCGGCACCTGGAAATCCATGGAGACGGCGGCTAAATCGAGGCTTTCCCTGGGTGATTCACAGGAGGAGGAGCAGCAGCAGCAGCAGCAGACGTCTTAGATTAGATGCCCTGTCCTTTATCCAACTCCAAGTCCAAGTCCTTGTCAATTACAAAGGAGAAACACCAAGCAATTATTTAACGACACGCCCACGACAGATTCTGCCACCCAGAACAGCGCGTGTGCAACTGACCAATCATCAGCTTAAAGCAATCAAACGCATTAGGGTAAAACGCTAGATAAGTCACGATAGGAACCCAGCCCCCTTTTCCTTGGTTTATCACCCATAGCTAGTCATCTTCCTGAACTTAGCGGAGTGTAAGCCACACAGAGAAAAATGCAGACACATTGTGCTCTGCCTAGAAATAGAAATAAAATTTACAAATTAAACTAAGACAGTTTTGGAAATTTAGAATTCGTCTATATATTGAGTCGTTGTTTTTTCAAATCAGCAAAGTTTTCTAAAAACTATCATCAGTATTTGCTTATTGAACGAAACTCCTAGTGTATTTACTAACTCATGTTGCCAAGTTTTTAGAAATTGACAGGATTGTGGTTTTTTTTTGTAGTGTTTTATATTATTTATTTGTTATTGTATTTTACAAATATTTTCTTAACTTTCCAGAGAAATGTAAATGTATTACAAACTCAATTTTTTATATATTTAACGGGAATAAGGTTTTTTTAAACGAAAAATCAGGTTCTTGTTTATGTTGATTTTTAAGATTATTAACTTTTTATTATATATTAAGATTTTTTATATATATATATATTTTTCCTAACATTTCAGTGAAATGTAAAAATACTACGACTACAGTTGCCAAGTTTTAAGTTTATTTTTTTATGGTATTTATAGATTAAGATTTGTTTGTTTTTAAATAATTTTTTAAAGTTTCAGAGATATACATATGTAATATGTATGTTTTAGGGATCAGTACCAAAGATTGTTTTCTTTCTCTGATGTTTTATTTATTCTTTTATTTTTTTTGAATTCTTAAAAATAGATAAATCGAGGTGTTTTGATCCTGTCATCTAGGCTAAGTAGAAGAGCTTGTCAACCAGTTCCAGTTAACCCCGCAAGTTGTGATTTGCCCGCTCCTTAACCCTTGTCCATTATTATCCTTATAAGTAGTTGCATTAGTGTTTGTTTTCTAGTTGTTGTGCCGCCGCAGGAGGGCAATATCTGCGGTGTATCTACAGTGTATCCAGTGAGCAATACTAAGTATCTCGTACTTAAAGTTTAGACTTAGCATCAGCCGAGAATCAGAGTAGTGTAGTTGGGGTAAGCAGAGTCAGTCATTATGATTAATCATCACAGACGAACCATGAATCATGTAGGAGTCCAGAGTTGCTAGGGCAAAAGCCAAGACACTTGAGAACTGCTCAAGACTAAGCCGTAAGTTTTAGTATTGTAGTCCAATTCGATCCCCTCCAGAAAAACCATACTCTCCCGAACCTTCCACCAACCACTCGGATAACTTGAATAAACAGAAAACAGTCTAGGCAGAATTGCCATGCCAGAATAATGATTAATTTATTAAACTTGTTTTATTGAGTGCCGCCTCGGGGGAACCGAAACCGCTGCAGCGGATGCCGAATAAAGATACAAATGTCGGGCGGGCCAGGAGAAATGACTTTGTATAGGGCCGTGAAATGAGTTGGCCAAGCGGATCCTGCCGAATACAATGGTACAATGGCCACCGAAACTAATAGAACTCGGTGATTAAGTTGACGCTGCAATTTGTTACCATAAATAAATAAATAAATCGGATGACCGAAAACGGCGGGCGGTCGACCTTACCTGAACCCCGGATTCTTTTTCATTTGTGCTTCTGCACTTTTGCTCCCCAAATCCTCGTGAGTTTGGTGGCGTGTGAATTTATCTTTATGCTCGTAAAACAAAAAGCACATGAAACGGAATCGGCCAAATAAACAGTGGCGACAACGAGGACGTGTTTCTAAAGAAGGGATGAGGGCACACAAAGAAAATCCCCGGACATTCATAAGGGTTTGCTTGTAAATATCTATAGTGTTATTTAAGTGTCATTCTAATTTTAAAAAATTATTTTAAAAAAGATATTCTAGGTTTATATATATTAAAGAGAGTTTAAACAGTTTTTATTTAAATTCCTATGGATATATTTATATTTATGGAAGAATTTATACAAAAATGGTTTCATACAACTGATTACGTTACATTACATTCATGTTAAAAATAGTCACAACGTTCCCAAATTAAATTTTTAGTTGAGTTGGAAAGTCACATCAAATGTTTTCAGTGCACAAAAATAAAGAAGCTGGGGATAGATGTGATGGTGGCACTCGTTGCCGAAACGAATGAATACGCCAACATTTTTCATGGCTCCATTCAGTGGCTTCCACTCCCCACTTTCATGGTTCCAAACTGACGCATCAGGATTTATCCCCGCGCACACTTTGTTGCCACTTGGCCCCACGTTTGTCGGCGGGGTCGGAGGTTAGGGGTCGAAGGTCGCATGTCGCAGGTCGCAGGACTGGGGTCGCTGGTCGTGCTCCGCTTCCGCTCAATAAAACGGAGCTGCCTGTCTTTATATTTGCTATATTACAGCTGGAGTACCTTTTGCCCGAAGGGCTGTCACAGCGGCGAAATGTTTATTTATTGCACATATTTGCCACAGCTGCTGCCCCTTTTGCATCGCCCCCGCCGCATTTGCTTTCGGTTCTTTTCGTCGTCGACAACATTTTGTGGCGTCGCAAAAGTTGCGCAAATATTAATTTTAATCAAGCTAATTAATATGGTCAAGTCGGAGGCGGAGACAGTCCCACCCCCCCCAAAAAAAAAGACAACGACCAAACGAAATGAATAAAAATGGGTAGACAGCCAGTGGCGATATCAGGATGAATTTCTCGGAAAGTTTGTCAATACTTAAAGGTTTAATCAGCATTCTTGGGAAAGCAAAAGAAAACACATAAATCAACCATAAAAACCTGTATTTGAAGACATGATTATAAATTTTATCATTAGGAAATAAACCAAATTTTAATATATAATATTAATCAAATAAATTAGCTATTATATTTTTGGACCTTTGTGAACATGTTCTTTTTTATTTATTTATTATAAATAACTTGTATTTCAAGATATGATACATTATTTTATACATATTTCAATGAATAAATTAACTTATTTATTTTTAAGACCATTGTGAATATACCTCACATTTAATATTTTAATGAACACAATTACTTATTTAATTACTCTGTCTACTATGTCTACTCTTGTAGATATATCCCCAATTTTATAATTTATTAAACAAAATTACTTTATAATTTTATGACCCTGGTGGACATAGTCCCAATTTTTATTTATTGATTAATTAAATTAATCAATTAAATTTGTATACTCTTGTGGGTGTATCCCCGAATTATATTTAATTTTATTTATTAAGCCTTGTACTTTAAGAAATAGTTATTTAATTTACGTTTTAAATTAAGAAAGTTGTATAGTATACCCAATTATTATTTAACTTGTATAGCAAAACTTTCAGTGTAACCTGCGAGTACCTTGAATCCCTTGTTGCCCTCACTTGTACTCATGTTTTTCGCTGGCATTGACAAATGAGCAGCTTGGTCAACAGGTTGAGCTTTCGCCCAAAAAAAGGTATCCACACATTGTTCCGTTTGGGGTTCCCTTTGGGTGCTTCTGCGGTCGGTTCATTAAAGTTGAGTCCCCGGGCACAAAGCCCACTTAATTAGCACCCGCTCCGTGAGCAATTTACGCATATGCCAAAATGCATTAAGTGAGCAGATCTCTCTCGATGCGATGGTGTCTCTGCGGAGCCACGCGCCAATTCCCGCTAATTATTCAGGATTATCGTTGGAATGGAGCTCGTTTATATGGCTGGCAACAATGCTCAAGGGTCGGCAATGATTCCCACGAGGCGGGGAACGGAACACACACTCATCTTTTATACCCCACAATGTCTTGCACTTTATTTACCTTTGGCATAAAGCGCTCGAGTTTATTCCCCCCACAACCCTCTCGCCCAGAAGGTGGCACATAAAACGGCACTAAGTTATTTTCAATCAATAAAATAAACATAAACAAAAAGCAAGCTGTAAAAAATACACTCAAGTGCGAGGGCACACACACACTCCACACACATGGGCCCCTCTGCCAGGAAAAGGGAAATGAAAGGAAACCACTGTGCTCCCAATTTGCCAATAAATTTGCCTGCCATGCACTGCCTGTAATTCAAAGAAGCGAGTGAACTGAAACAGCAACACATAACAAGCCAACAGCAGCAGCAGCAGCAGCAGCATCATGATGGAAAAGCGAGGTAAATCGGAGGAAAAAGCCAAAGCGCCAAAGCCAAACGATGCCGAAATGTTGGCCAAAAAGTTTTCTCCCTCCTCACTGCGCTTTCTTTCAACTTTGCGTTTTTTTTTTTTTTGGTACGTGGCTGCCGACAGCGATGGAAATGACAAAATATGTTCGTACACAGGTTGGGATCTCTCGGCTGGGCCTTATCCACCCCGACCCTTGTGTTTAATCAGCCATAAAAACATCCACGTTAAACATTTTCCGCACTGATGACAATTCGCACTTTTAATTGAGATGCGGACACTGAGATAAAAGGAGGGCTTATTTAATGGGTATTACTATATTTATTTATTCATATTATACTTAATTTTTATCCACTGATTTGTTTTGGACTACAAAATGTTTGTTATTTTATTGAATTTGTACATATAAATATACTTTATACTTTAATTGGTTTTTAACAGTTTAACTTAGTCTGTTGATTTGCTTTGAATTAAAATTGAAATTACATTTACACCTCCAATAGAAAACTGGAATAGGTCAAAATTACTATATAATTTTTAAACAAGCTTTTCATTTTAGTGCTTACAATCTTTTATTTACTTATTCTTATTTGTCTTTTATATGTGTTATTTTATATATTTTACTAAATTTATGAAAAGAACATTATTAAACGTGTAATTGATTCTTAACCATTCCAATTAAGTTTACTGATTTATTTGAGACTAAATAAAATTAGTGGTCGACATTTATTTGTTGATTTATTTGGGATTTCAGTTTAAAAAGCATGTTCACTTCCAAATGAAATCAATTGCATACAACTTTTTTATTTATTAAGTTTTATTTGATTTAAATACTATTTCTAATTAAGTTTTTATTTCAATTTCATACAACTTTTTAATTTACTTAATTTTATTTAATTGTTTTTTTATTTGCAGTGAAGTTGGCTTGAAAGGTGCCAGGCCATAAGCGTTCTAATTGGTTATCTCGGGGGAATCGCGGCGAAGGAATCACAGCCGAATGACAACGGGTAAGTGGGAAAATGGGAAATGGTAAACGAGTAGCGGAAAACGGATTTCTAGCCGAGTGAACGGCTGATTGAAAATTTTCGAGTGGCGACTGGCGCGGGGGGGAAATGAAGAGGAGGAGCGTGTTTCATGCAAATTCCGTCAGATACAATCTGAGTCGAATCAGCGAGTGGTTGAGCTGTTGCTGTTGCCGTTGCCATTACCGTTCAAGTCATGATTGCAATTTATTATAAGCGAGCTGTAAACAAATGCAGGGAAAAATCTTTTTCGCAGTTATTGTCGCGACAATTGCAAAAGACAGGAAACAGCTGCCAGAAGGAGTGGTTGTGGATGTGGATGTCGCCGAGGATGAAGACGAGGATGCACTCACATGTTCAGTTACCATGGGAAATTACGCGAGTGGAATGCCAGCGCTCAAACACGCGCACGTCTGCCGAAGAAATAACATAATGTTGTTGACATACTGCACACGCTCGCACACACACACACACACACACACACGCACACGAAAAGCCAACTAGAAGCGGAAACGGAAGGAGCAACATGACGACAGATGAGAAAGAGAAAGTCGAGGCTGCCAACTGATTGCTATAGATGGCACCAAATAGAGGCGGAAGTCGAAACTGGAGGGGAAAATGGAAGACCAAGTTCAGAACCCCTAAATTTTAATACCCTTCAGTTTATTAAGACAATTTGGTTACAAAACATGGAATGGCCCAAAAAAAGTACAACTATAATATAGATATTGGATAGAAAACATTATTTTGATTTATATTCAATCAGAGAACAATGGCGATTTTATAGTTTTTTATGTCTTAGTATTAGTGGTTCAAACCCTTAACAAACCTGTGTTCCAAGCTGATGTACTCCCTGATAAAGAGTAAAAAGCGATGCGAAGTCTGCGTCTTGGCAGCCAAATGATTAATTTCAACAAGCTGCCACAAACTGTTGATGGAGCAGCCAACAAGAAGCGGCAAAATCTCACGGAAAGGGTCTCCAAGAGGAGGAGCGCAACAGTCGTACGTGTCTGCGCTCGAGTTTATCGAGCATGTGCCGTGGCAAATGCAAACTTCTTGGGAACGATGCCCCGCTGCCGATGCCAAGAATCGAGACAGCGTTGATTTTGCGCTCCAGAACGTAATGAACCACAAAATAACAGCAAACTCAAGGACTCGCTTAAG